CGTCTCCCTGACATGCTGCTTCAACACTAACTGTGGTTACTGAAACCACGCCTTCTTTCTTTGTGTGCACATTTGCTAATATTTCCACATAGTGAGGTAGATATGTGGGGGCGTGTTAGAACGAGCCGTTTTAGGGGGGCGTGGCAGAGTCTTAACTTTGATAAAGAATATCTCTTTGGTTTTGAGACTTTAGTCTTTGCAACTTCAGGGATCTTATCTGAGCACAATCAGCTTGTAACACTCCAAAGAGAAAGGAAAACTTGAAATCGCATCATATGACCCCTTTAAGTGAGACCTCACCTTACTGTAAAGTGTTACCAGCTTTTTTAAGGATTTAATGTCACTCATCATAATCCAGAGCTTAACTAATCATGTAAATGTCAAAACAATTTAATATTTTAAATATATATTTTAAATATTTGTGGAGATGCACATGGACATATATGGTCATATAATTGAGCAAAAGCAGATGGAAAATTATGTTTTTCGCAACATAACGGAATGAACAAAATCATTTATTCATTCATAATCTAGAAGGTGATCAGAAGACCACAGCTACTAGCAAAATGGCATGACCCATTATTGCAAACCTTATATACTACTTTGCGTTGTGTCTTTCTCAAAACTCACCTGCTTCTTCCATCTTAAAACGGCTCAATGCGTCTCTGTTGACGAATGATGCGAGTCACGAGCAAATACTCTTACAACGCGTTGCTGATGCAATGTTCTCTCAAGACACTTTACGAGACTGAACCCGGTGAAATATTTTGACTGCCAACAGAATACGCTTTATCCTACTAACTCCTTTCAAATGAGCGACTTTGTCAACAGAATAATGTTTGTTTTATGAATTTATTTCAAATTGTCACCGCTATGCAGTGAGCAAGCGGACTTGCACTTGCTTCTTCTTCTTCTGGTGTTAATGGCGGTTGACCAAACAACTTAAATGATGCATTCCCGCCACCTACTGGATAGGAGTGTGGAGCGCATAATGATTGGAAGATTAAAAAAAAATTATTAATAAAAAAAACAAAAACAATTATTCCCGCTTTATTTACTACAACTGTATCCTAAATTATATTTATCTTGTCTTGTTTCTTTTAAGAAAATAATTAATTCATGAAATGTTCTTGATTGCTTTGGGCCATTTCCTAACAGAACCTGAAGTGACACATTATTTATTCCGAATGCTCCTAAAGCTTGAATTAGTTGAAATCTTGCTCCTTCATATGCGACTTGCACTTTCTTCTCCTTCTTCCTTATTTAATGGCGAATGAGCCATCCAGTGTTGCTAAAGTTCGATTTGTTGCTAAAAGTTGCTAAATGACGTTGTGATGTCATTGCGTGATGACGTCATTACGTAATCAACGCAAAATTGTGTCACTACATTTAAAATATATATATTTTTATATGTTAATTTAGATTTGTTCGTAAAATAATATAAATGCATAATATAATGTTAAAATATAAATAACTTTTTATATACAACATTGAATTATTGAACACTTACACATTTTTGAACGATTACAAGTTTTTTTATTAGCTAGTAAACTAGTAAAACGACACATTCTGAACAATTATAGTTTTAAGCAGTGCGTTAGTAGTCAGTATGCTACACTCTAAGAAAATTAATCACAGCAGTTTTTACCTGCATTTTAAGTTACGCATTGTATTTTGTGTTTTCGGTAAAATTACTAGTACCTTTTCCATTTTTCTAGATATTTTTCTTACAGTGTACTAACTGATCAACAATCACAGGTACAAGCTTCTAACAAGGAGTATCATAAATGAACACTTATTAAATTATTATTATCAAATTGAACAATTGCAAATAGCAATAACTTAATTCACGTGATGTGTGTACTTCTAGGCATCTTTGGTTTCCTCTTTTTGTGAAATTTAGATGGAAAATGTGTGCCATTTTATTGTTTGAGCCACTTAAAATGTTAAAATAGCTCAATTTCTAGCTAGGTGCTTTTGGAAGAAAAAGTTGCTAGGGTAGTCTGAAAGGTTGCTAAATTGGCAACACTGGAGCCATCTTTGGTGTGTACCGCCACCTACAGGACTAGAGCAAAACAGCATGAGAATTCATTTTTAAGCTATATTAATGTGAGGATGTAATACTATTCTCAAAATAAATCGATATATTTCGATAGATATATTTAGTATTATATGAAATAAAACATAAAAATATGGAGAAGTAAGGGTGGTTGTTATTTTACAAGAGTAACTTATTTCATGCTCCAGCACAGAAGGTGGCGGTGTGCACTTATTTAGTTGCTTCGCAAACCCTTCAGTGAATCCACAGAAGAAGAGCCCATTATGAGTCGGAACACAACTTTTAACAACATTGGAGGAAATACGAACTGAAATACCTTTACGTAGCGATTTAGAGATAAAGGAATCGCAATAATGGCCTCTGGTTTGTACATCAAACAGACCATGTTTTTAAAACGTATTAAAAAGTAAACAATTGTGCATTTAACTTGTTATTTGTTTCTTATAAATATGTGGACGTGTTTGAATGGAGTACATGAATTGTGATGCTCTTAAAGTAGACATGTAAAACAGTATGTCACGTGGTATATATGTGAAACTCACTAATCACGATCACTAATGTTTGCAGACGACGAAATTAATATTCTGGTCATTGTGTTGGATGTCAACCCTATTTGGTGGGGCCAGCAAGCTCAGCGGGAACCTCAGGTACTTTCATTTTTATATAATGTCATTTTGACCCTAATCCATAATGTTTTTCCCTCATGATTACCATTATCCTCATTGCCCTAAATTGTTCTTTTTTTATTATTATTAAGTTCACTCTTTCAACATGCCTGGATTCTTTGATGGTCATGGCAAATGCCCATTTAGTGATGTCAAGAACCAACAAACTAGCCGTCATTGCAAACCTGTATCAAAAGAGGTAAACAGTTAACTGTTCTCAGAAAAATGTAACAAACGTATTCTAAAACTATAAAAAAAAATGTCTCTTTTTAAGCCACTTTCTATATCCGAGTAAGCAGTGGAAATCAGGGGATGAAATATCTGTAAGTAGCGATGGCAAATATGAACTTCTGTCAGTTACCAATGAACTCTTTGCGGAAGAGATCAGGAATCTCATGGACAGAAGTAAGTTATTTAATGAATTAATTGTTATTATTCAGGTTAAAGGAATAGGCCAGCTAAAAATGAAGATTTGTTGAAAATGTAGTCATTCTCTGGCCGTCCAAGATGTAGATGAGTTTGTTTCTTCATCAGATTTGGAGAAATGTAGCACTGCATCATTTGCTCACCAACGGATCCTCTGTAGTGAATGGGTGCCGTCACACTTCTGTTTGTCTTTCAACAGGCTTGTGACATAACTGGAGGCTTGTACCTCAGAATTCCCCAGAAGATCGCTCTCACACAGTATTTGTTGGTGAGACATTTGTGCAATTTTGAACTTGTGACTATCCCAATCAAAACTGTACCCTAACAGGTTATTTTATGTTGTTTTATATTTCAAATATTCTCTTGCTGAGACTGTAACTGCTGGTTGTGTGTCAGTGGGTATTTTTACCAGACACAGACCAGAGATCCCAGCTGTTATTGCCTCCTCCGGTACACGTAGACTACAGGGCCGCTTGCTTCTGCCACCGCAACCTGATTGAAATTGGCTACGTCTGTTCAGTGTGCCTGTCAAGTATGTTTCCATCTACCCTTTATTACTTATCAGCTTGGAGAGACATGTTTAAAAAAAAATTTGTTCGATTTAGGCTTGTTTCAGACTCTTGTGTCTACTGCATGCGAGCATCACCACAGATGTATGTCACACAACCGTTCAAAAGTTTGGGGTCGGTGACATTTTTAAAAATGCTTTTAAAAGAAGTTCCTTCTCCTCACCAAGGCTGCATTTATTTGATCAAAATACAAACCCAATTCCAAAAAAGTTGGGACACTGTACAAATTGTGAGTAAAAAAGGAATGGAATAATTTACAAATCTCATAAACTTATATTTTATTCACAATAGAATATAGATAACATATCAAATGTTGAAAGTGAGACATTTTGAAATGTCATGCCAAATATTGGCTCATTTTGGATTTCATGAGAGCTACACATTCCAAAAAAGTTGGGACAGGTAGCAATAAGAGGCCGGAAAAATTAAATGTACATATAAGGAACAGCTGGAAGACCAATTTGCAACTTATTAGGTCAATTGGCAACATAATTGGGTATAAAAAGAGCCTCTCAGAGTAGCAGTGTCTCTCAGAAGTCAAGATGGGCAGAGGATCACCAATTCCCCCAATGCTGCGGCGAAAAATAGTGGAGCAATATCAGAAAAGAGTTTCTCAGAGAAAAATTGCAACGAGTTTGAAGTTATCATCATCTACAGTGCATAATATCATCCAAAGCAACTGTGAACTGATAGTATGGTCACTGAAATGATGATGTGTCACTTACATGCTGCAGACATAAGAAACCGTTATTAGCTTGAAGGTTTTGAAATGTACAGTCTGATCAAACTATATTAAATTGTAACTCTTCCTTTGCTTTTTTTTTAGTAACCTTAAAATATATATCAAAAGATCCTATATATAGCAGAGAGATTGTTATAATGTGAACCTGTTTCAGTGCATGTCCCTTTAAATTCTAATGAGCTCTGCTCACCCGCCCCTCTCTTCTGTGGGGTGACAAGCCGTTCTCATGAGACTGTTTACTTTAGCTGGGAAACTTGCTAACTAGCACATTATCAGGAAAGGCGATTTGCAAAGATTCATAAAAGAACTCCTGTAGGTGAGGCTGGATCATGAATGATTCGCGTGAACATAGGTGCATTTAAGTAGATCGGTGGCGCATTCCCTTCAAAAATAAAAGTAATCCACTGCGTCTTCAGCTGCTCAGATGTCAGGAGTAAATGACGACTGCTATGTTCATTATTACATCCAACAACAGAACACCTCAATCGCTATGGAGACATTCTTGTCTACATCTGCTCCAGCGGTGAAACAATGGTGGACTGATGACAGCTCACTCAGGGTGGGGTCTAAGGTAAAATGCCAGTGTCAATCAACAATCGTGGGAGGGGCCTGGGTCTGTGTGACATCACACAGACAGGCATCTGAGATCGGCTCGATTTGAGAAAGGGGAAATGATTTAACGAGATAAAAAAAAAGTTGCATCCAGTGGGGACATACAGGTGCATCTCAATAAATTAGAATGTCGTGGAAAAGTTCATTTATTTCAGTAATTCAACTCAAATTGTGAAACTTAACTTACCCAAAACGGCTCGTTCTAACACGCCCCCACATACCTACGTCACTATGTGGGAAGATTTACATAACGCCGCCCAAATGTTCACGCAAAGAAAGAAGGCGTAACTTTTATTCTCGCTGTAGTACTGTTGCCGCCGCCGCCATGTCGTGAAGGCGCTGTGTGCTTCGTTGTGAAAGCGAAACTACTTTGTTTGGTCTTCCAAAAGAGGACGATATCTGCTTTGTCATGCCTAGAGCTGATCCGTGCTGCTCGCTGAGGAAATACTTCAAATTCGCGATCGCCGGATCAGCTTTTACCGTGGACGAAGCAGCCCAGAGTCGTCACATGTGGTTGCTGCAGGCATCACAGTATGGTGAGGGACGTAACATTTCCATCACACGCTTGAGGAATTCGGCCAATCACAATGCACTGGATAACTGGCCAATCACAGCACACCTCGCTTTTTCAGACCGATGAGCTTTGTAAAAATCGACGCGTTTCAGAAAGGCGGGGCATAGAGGAGAAACAATAATGTACAGTATGTGGAAAATAATGTGCTTTTTAAACCTTAAACCGCATAAACACATTTCATTACACCAGATACTGTTCTTTTTAGCAACATCATATGATCCCTTTAAGTGGGTCAAAAAACACCTAAGCACTCAACTAATTGCTAAAGTATGCTAAAGTGTACTTTTCACAAGGGCAAACCTACTTTTAACATGTAAAAACAGAAACAAAGTTTCATCTGATTTAAAGAAAAAAGATAATCAAAAGAAGCACTGTAGTTTTAGCAAATTATCAATAAAAAAAAAGTTACTGATCACTATGACCAACTATGAAATATACACTCAGTGAAAATCTTAATTAACCATCACCTGTCACTGTAGACAGAGCGCTCGTACACCTGTACCGGCGTGCCTGTGGACTGCAGTAATCTGGCAGCAAGGGGCTGCAGATGTGTGCGCATGCGACTCATGCAGGAGAACGTCTGGAAAGTGTAGGACCAGCGCTTTGGATCATGATACATCATCTCTAACAGGTTACTGGATGATTGCTGAGCACCATCCACAGTCTGCTACCCAGAAAGGAAAAAACACATTAGTGAACATAACATACTGTGAGAGTCAAGCTTCCAAAAGGTTTTGGGCTTATTGAGCAGAAAGAGCATTAAAACACGTGGCATTTAAAGACAGCACACTTGAATCTAAATATTTCACAAATACTTGGGTCTACAGGACAAAACAACAGATATACTGTTTACAATTCAGACAATAACTATATGGACACTTTTTGTACGCAAATGAAATCATGAAATACACCTGTTATTAATAGCATAAAAATTATTTTGTTGATTACAAGTTCTCATCATTTGATATTTTTATATCTAAATAACAATCAAATTGACTTATGTAACATCATACAGACTCTTATTTAATTATTGCATGTACATATATGATCTTCATTTATGAGGGTGAAATATCACTTCAGTCCACTGTCTCAGTGTTGATCTGTCGTCTCGTCTGTGACACTGACCCGAGTCGTTTGGTCCACATTTTGCCATTTGCTGACGGGCTCTGCGATCACTTCCCAGTCCTGTCCTGCGTTCTGTAGCAGCTTGGCAAATGTTGACTTCCCGACCGCTGTGGATGTTTAGAAGACACACTACATTACCAACTGAACTTTAAACTAACACTACACGTGAGAACCGGTCTGTTAATGGGCATATGCCACATTAGATAACCATGACTATTATTTTTCAAATTTCGTTACACTCACATAACCAGTGTAAACATGAATCATGTGTAAAAGAAAAAAAAACCATAATAAGCAAAACATACCAATGTTTCCTTCGATCGAGACTCTCTTTATTTCATTGCTTCTACTCATGTGGCTGCTCGCAAAACGGTAAAAAGCAGAGCTCGAGAAAAGGCGTTTGATCGTTCTCATACTCATCCCTGACATCACACAAAAATAATATTACATCATTCATATATATATAATACTGTCTCGAACATTTTATTTGCACCAAGCGTCTCAGCAGAAACGTGCTTCCGGGGGAGGAAAGTTTTAGTTTCAAAATAAAAGTTTCGCTTTTTCCTTTTTGAAAAATATCAACCTCACAACATCGTTAAACAAATAACAAATAATAATTAAAAAAACAAATCTTACAATAATTCTTATAGTGCATCTTTTATAAGATGTCTAATACAAATAATGCAAAATACAGTGTAATTCATGAAAACAAAACTAAAAAATAAAAGTATTAACAAATAAGCATTTTGCTGTTAAAATGACATTTGGGAATTTTTACTAACTTTCATTGGCTATAACCTAAACATTAACAAGACGAAATGCTTTCGAAACTCTGATTATAAACATTATTGCGAGTAGAAATAAAAGGAAAAACAAAATTAACCTGATGCTTCCATTATGCATGAAATACTGCTTAAAAGTCTGAATATAAAATCTCGAGATTCGCCTACAACCAAAAAGTCTTGTAATAATCTTCACTGTTGAATATGCAGCCACATAGAAACGAACACATCAAAAATAATATTTGTCTTTAAACTTGTACAAAGCAATAATAAAAACTGTAATATTGATCCCTTCCTCCAATACATCTTAATTTGTTTTCACACATTATAAAAGTACTGACTAAAAATGCTGGTTTTATTTTTACATCCATCAAAACTAAACTCTGATATTCATTTTATATCCCCATCCATCACAAATACATTAAATAAAATAAAAGACCTACAGTGTAATACTGACAACAGAAAAAAACTCAAACAAAGAGAAAATCCACACGTGAATCAAGAGTTTTCAGGATGACTTCTTCTATGAACTTCAGGAAGCACAGCTGAGATACAACGAAGACAATCAGTGTGCACAAAACAAATTCAGACTCCAAAAAGTGGACAGGACAAAAGAAAGGCTTTCTGGAAAATGCATTAAGGCTGACCAATATGGTATTCATATCGGTGTTTATCTATCCTTGCTGCCTAGTTTCTCAATAAGGTCCTGCAGGGGTGCCAGCTCTCTGCGATCAATGAGATTGAACTCCTAAAAAAAAAAAAAAAGTACAAATTGTAATCAGTTCAAGAAGAGTACCGACCAAACAATTTAGACATTGTCACTCATGACCTACAGTACATGTGTGTTAATGCACTGACCTGTACAAAGAAGATAAAATGCTTGAAGGAGGTGTTAAGATGAGCTTCCTCCTGAAGCTGCATGACCGAGTCAAAATGCTGATGGTAAATATGAGCATAAACCCTGAACAGACGCTTCAGTATAGTCTTTGCCACTGACATGAAGTTCTTTGGGAAAGGAACGCCTGAAGGGAGTAAAAAGTGCAATAAATGAGAGAGCCTTTCTGACAAGCTTACACTGTATAACGATTCATAACAAATGGAATCAAACAAACCGATCTTAGATGGGAAGAGAGTTTCATCATCCAGCTGATCCTGAACCCAGGTCATCAAGTAGTCAATGTACTTGGGAGCAGAACACTTAATGGGTTTTTTGATGTTGGTGCCGTCCGCCCAGTGATATTCATACCTTTATTAAAAAGCAATTACATTTTAGACTAAATATCCACTATTTTTATAATAACAGTATATAAACATTTCTAAAATGTTATATTTTGTTTCAACCTCATGTTGTATTCTGGGCATTCTGATCCATAGAGGATTTTCTTTTTCCTGAAAATGCTAGTGAATATGATCACACTGGACTAAAACTTGCTAGCTTTGACTTAATAACAACTTCCCTTAAAATTGGATAATTTTTTTCCTGCCTTGTAACACTTTTGGTGTTCCTGGACAAAAATTATAAGCAATTTCTTGTTATGCTATATTATCGCCATATACAGTGGGGAAAAAAAGTATTTAGTCAGCCACCAATTGTGCAAGTTCTCCCACTTAAAAAGATGAGAGAGGCCTGTAATTTTCATCATAGGTATACCTCAACTATGAGAGACAAAATGAGAAAAAAAAAATCCAGAAAATCACATTGTAGGATTTTTAAAGAATTAATTGGTAAATTCCTCGGTAAAATAAGTATTTGGTCACCTACAAACAAGCAAGAGTTCTGGCTCTCACAGACCTGTAACTTCTTATTTAAGAGGCTCCTCTGTCCTCCACACGTTACCTGTATTAATGGCATCTGTTTGAACTCATTATCAGTATAAAAGACACCTGTCCACAACCTCAAACAGTCACACTCCAAACTCCACCATGGCCAATTATTTTCTGATTTAAATGTACCATCAAAAGTATTTGATGCCGATACATAGTTATCATTGATACACTGCTCCAGGTGTGTGCATGCACTTGGATGGGTTAAATGCAGTGCACAAATTCCAAGTATGGGTCACCATACTTGGCCACACGTCACTTCACTTTCACTATTCAATAAATAGTCATTTTAAATGACCAATTTTACCAAAAATGAAGGACATATAGTTTCAAATCAATAACAGCATTTATCTAGCAGTAAGGGTGTGCGATATTGACAAAAAATAATATCTCGATATTTTCTGGGATGTTATCGATAATTAGACGATATTTTGACGGTTGAATCATTTAAACGCTTGATTCATTCAAGAACGAAACACCGTCATGTTGCTCAGAGACGCAAAACAGCACTGTGGCTGTATTCGGAATGATTTTTGTTAGCGAAATAAAGCAAAAACAAGCAATATGGTGTCTAAAACGTAAGTCTCTTAATTAACTTATTGTTTATTCAATTCAATGTCACATTTGTAATCATGGTAATTTTTGGAGAAAAACGGCACTCTTCGTGTGAAATTGAATGACTATATGAAGTGGTATAAATGTATAAATTTTCTGCCATCATAAGGGTGTGTGATATTGACAAAAAATAATATCTCGATATTTTCTGGGATTGATATTGACAAAAAATAATATCTCGATATTTTCTGGGATGTTATCGATAATTAGACGATATTTTGACAGTTGAATCATTTAAACGCTTGATTCATTCAAGAACGAAACACCGTCATGTTGCTCAGAGACACAAAACAGCTCTGTGGCTGTATTCGGAATGATTTTTGTTGGCGAAATAGAGCAAAAACAAGCAATATGGTGTCTATAATTAACTTATTGTTTATTGAATTCAATGCCACATTTGGAATTACGATATTATCGCAGACGATATATATCGCACACCCCTATCTAGCAGCTGACATTTTACGGAAAAAGGTTTCGTTTCGAAATAGATCTTTGTGGATTCCGTTTAAAAGAGCCTGAAACTATCGAGAGTTTATTTCTTTTTGGTTCGGTCACGCTGCAGTTCTAGCAGGTTCGTTTCATCTGGTTAAACACAGAGACTGGCAATCCTTCATTTGATTTATTTCATATTTTGGTTTGTGGCTGGTCTCTCAAGAAGGTCAAAGATGGTCAACATAATCATTACTACGGGTAAATATCACACACATAAATGTAATGTAACCTTAAAGGTCCCATGGCATGAAAATGTCACTTTATGAGGTTTTCTAACATTAATATGAGTTCCCCTAGCCTGCCTATGGTCCCCCAGTGGCTAGAAATGGCGATAGGTGTAAACCGAGCCCTGGGTATCCTGCTTCACCTTTGAGAAAATTAAATCTCAGATGGCCCAATCTGGAATCTTCCCTTTATGTCGTCATACGGGGAAAGGTTACCTCCCCTTTCTCTGCTTTGCCCGCCCAGAGAATTTGGCCCGCCCATGAGAAAATGAGCTACTACAGTGCGAGGCGAGCGCAATATTTTTTTTTCCTCGAGAGACATCATGGCTTGCAAAGAGCGAAGCATTGCAGTTGCCCCGCCTCTCTCCTCCTCATTAGCATTTAAAGCTACAGACACAGAAATGGCACGTCCTAAGGAAAGCTCATTGTGGGACTGGCTCGTAGTGGCTGAAATTCTGCCCCAAGGCTGAATTTCAGGAAAGAGACCTCAGACACAGTACTAGGGACCACTTAGGCCTATATAAAAGCATCTAAAAAGAAGCATGTCATGGGACCTTTAATGCATAAAAATTAAAAAAAATGCAATTTTAAAAAAGTATTTTAGGAATCAAGTCTCTTTCTTCTTAAGAAACATAGAACATGCTATTTATAATTTAAAAAAGCCTGTTGTTTTATTTCAACCTGCATTTTACACTTATTTGGTTATTGTTCTTTTATAATGTTTTTATTTTTACTACTTGAAGCATACGAGTAAATACGTACACTTAGAGATATGACTGCAGATGTAATTATGTGTATATTATGTACACATTTATATGCATTTTAGGCTTCCATATGCAAGCTAATGTAAATTTGAATGGTTTAATAAAGAAAAGCTCACTATTGACCGCAATCCACTCGTTCAGGTCCTCTCCCTCTGGTAGCATCACAGCAGCTCGGAGGTTTCCGCTTCCTAACGTGGCCTCTGCATGTTTCAGCAGTTCATACTGATGAGAGCCTTCTGGGATATTCTTCTTGGGCTTGAAAGTCTTTGATGAACGGCTTCCACTACAACACAAAGACGCATTTTGTGTCACACCAATCAAGTTGACTAGAAAAACTAAAGACTAAACGGACTACAAACAACACATCAACATAGCACGAGTGTAGGAATTTAGCAGAAAGACAGAAAAACAATGTACAACTCAAAACAAGCGGAGTCGGAAGTTCTCGTGCTAAACGCAGGAACAACATGTCAACCGGATATGTTGAAAGTTCAACGTTATGAGCGCGAGCAGATGTTATTCGTTTGATTTTTCTGATGGATGTGCTTCCATATGACTAATTCTTCTGGGAATATACAGCTGCTTGGTAATATATCAGTAATACACGATTATGGCAAGAAAGAAAAGGTTAACATACTGTTGCAGCGGCTAAAATACTTACAATAAGAAACTCATCTCCGGTTTTTTTTCCTCTTCAAACTATTTTTTAGAAGGCAATGCGAAGTGCTACTACTATAAAGTTACTTCTCAAAGGCCACTAAACACCATTTATAAGTACTCTTCGAAGTTGGAGGTTTCACATACGGACGAAAGATATCAGTAGGCGTAGAAGTAAAGACTCAGGAAATGTCTACGATTGGTTCCCAGCGGGTGCCGCGTAGCCACAGAAATAAAGCGCGTGGTTACGTGCAAACTTCCTCATTTATACGGATCGAATATTGTTACAATACTTATGACTACACTTTCTAAACAATCATTAGTGAAACTATAAATAATAAAAGCCCCCCTGGCAGCTAAAACCTTGTAGGTATACCGAGCATGCGCGAGGCGGTGTCAAGAGGCGGTAACGTTATTTTTTATTTTTTTTGGCATTCGTTTTTTTTTTATTATTACAAAACTTGTAGAAACATACAGAAACAGGGAAGCGAGACATGAATATATTCCAACAAAAAGCAATTATAAAAAATAAAAACAGAAAACAAATATTCTGTATTTGCATGTCAAATGAATTATTATCGATACATAAAAGCGCAAAAATAAACTTAAATTTTTTTTTTAGAAAAGTTGTCATAAGACATCAAAAGTTTGGCACTCTTTTTGTTATTAGTAAGTCTAAGAGATGAAACAAGAGAGTCCAATTCAACAAGAAAATTAGGAAAAGACAAAGGCGATTTAAGCCATTTTTGCTTATGAATGAAGAATTTTGCATTCAATATAAGAAAATTAACAACATATTCAACAGATAATAGCTTTGGATTTTCATAGTAAAAGATAACATCTTTGAGGACGAAGGTATGGGACACATTTGTAAGGTTAGAAACATAGGTGCTTAATTAAGTCAACCCATAATTTGTTGGTAACACCACAATCAAAAAACAAATGGGCAGCGGTTTCCTCAACAAAACCACAAAACGAGCTAGATTCATCAACATTAGAATATTTAGAAATAGGCAAATTAACGGGGTAAATTTTATGAAGGATTTTATAATGAATCTCCTTGACCTTGTTAGAAATGCAAAATGAAGAAAAAGAAATGAACACTTTTTCCAATTGGTATTTGTTATAAAGGAACCCCAATAGAATTTCCCTCTTGGAGTAATCTTTCTCTTTGTCTGAAATATTTTGCGGATATGTCTGTTATTGCATTTCCGATCTAAAATACCGATACCACCCAAACATAAAGCCGGATAAACACTGTTGCCTTTACTGAATTTAAGGTGACTTTTAATTAACTGGGTTAAGCCTACTGGGATGGCTCTCATCAAAGTATTATATTCCTCTGGTGGGACTGGAAAATTATGGAGATTCATACATTTTTCATAAGTTAAAATATTACCAAAATCATCAAACACAGATAGAATACTGTTCAAGTTGTTATTAAACCATCTAGGGGAAAAAATAGACTTATTTCTAACAGTTATATCAGCATTATTCCAAAGAAGAACTTTGTGGGGGGAGAAACCATGGACAAAACACAATTTCCACCAAAGAAGACATCGCTGATGGAAGTTAGATAAGGAAATAGGTAACTTGCCAGGCAAGAAATTACATTTTAGTAAGAAAGACAGGCCACCGAGTTGGTCAAATATCTTATTTGGAATAAAAACCCACAGTGACATTGGATTTGTAAGGCATCTTTTCAGCCAGTTTACTTTAAAGGTGTTTACAGTATCTGCGAATCCAAAAAAATCAGGCCACCTTCACTTCTGGAGTTAGCAAGCACAGCTCTTTTTCATTTGTACGGTCTATTTTTCCAAATAAAATCCAAAAATATTTGATTAATTTCCTTTATAGCTTTATCGTTGACAAAGAAAGAGCAGAATATACAAAGTGAGAGAGCCCTTCAACTTTAGGGTAACGTTAGTTTGTCCTCACGGGGGAACATATCGAGACGCTATAAACATTCAGGATGCGCGCGCATCATGGTTGCAGAAAACCCGGGAGAGAGCCTTTACAGCTAGAGAACTTCACGGATACGGTACAACATAGTTAGGTTTAAAAAGATTATAAACTATATTGCTTAGATGTCATTTTCAAAATGTTCTACGCATATTACAAGAGCTTGTCACCCAGCGATAAGCACTGTTATTCAACGAAATTGACGTTAGAGAGTGCGATAGTCTTACAGATCCGAAACAGGGATGTCGGTTTTTGTGGGCGGAGCCTATCTGGAGGCAGAAAATGAGGGTTTTCAAGCGGCAGTCTATGGAGCCATGGAATAAAAGAATTTAAAAAAAGGTCAATTTGATTTTATATTTCAAAATTCTGACTTTATTCTCGCAGTCCCGAGATAATATCTCACAATTATAATAAGGAAAAACAACTCCTCATTCTCTCTTTTCCCCTCGGCTCTTCTAGCTTTTTCTCCTCAGATTTGACAAACTCACTATTTTTGAGTTAAGTCGAGTTATGAGGTCCGAATTAGGAGATATAAACTTGCATTTGCGAGGAAAAAAAAGTCCGAATTGTGAGATAAAGTAAATAAATGTTATGTAAAAATGTTAATAGTAAGGTTTAAATAATATTTCATGCTGTAACTGTAGGGCTAATACAATACGTCCCATATGTGAATATTATGTAGACCTATTGTTTAAATCGAATTTACGCTTTAAAAGTAGAGTAATCATAGCAGTTTTCATCCATAGTATGTCCATTTAAACGTCTGCGTTTAGCTTCAAATGACGACAGTATTCTATAAAAAATGATCTGCATTCCGATCTTGACATCAAAAGGCACAAAAATGTATTTTTTCTTTTATTCCATGGATTTGACCCATTTACCTCCACTTGTTCCCAGTGTTTTTCTGCAACCATTATGCGCGCGCAGCTGCAAGTGACGTAACTGTGACGTCTCCTCTGAATGGCACGCACGGGGCAACGGGGTTATAAAACTGATACTGCATTTTAGTGTGCATACCTTTCTGCCTTATTTCCACCCGGTCTCACATAGGTGCAATTTAGCTGCTTTCAATCTTTTATTCTTATTTATATCACCCACCAATGGCTAACGTTACACTCCGGGCATTGCGGAAGCTATGCCGGCAGTCTCGCCATCAGGCGTGTAGTTTTCATTTGTCATCTTCACGGTAAGTGTGCGAGAGCTGTCTAACGTTTAACGGTCGTTTGTGATAGAATAAGCGCGGGGTGTTCTGATCCGCTCTCGTTAAACCGGTTGTCATGTAACGTTAACGTACAGCGGAAGCGTAACTCTTCATCAGTAATACCTCTGCTGTAATTATCTGACTATATTACACTTAGTTTCTTTATAAAACATGTCATCTGCGACTCCTCTCTCGATGTTTTAGTTATGTAACAAACGCCGGTTTAGTTGTTCAGTTCACTGCGCCCGGCGCCCGGAGCTCCCGGCTGATGTAATGTCATAACCCGCTTGCACGCAGTGTTGCCAACTCATTTTCAGGGGAAGCTGCTAAAGGAAGGTCGATTTGTTGCTAAAAGTTGCTAAAAAATTTTTTTATTTTTTATTGAATCACTCAAATTCAACACTTTACAGTAGCCAGGGGGTGAACACAAAGAAAAAAAGATACAAAATTACAGTGAAATAAAGAGAAAATAAATTACATAAAAACATGGAAATGTTTACATACATTAATACACTTAACAGCTTTCTTGTTTATCAAATTGTAAATTGATTTTAGGTATTGTTTAACTTCTGATTTCAAAATGAGAAACAATGGTTTATAATTGCCGTACTTGCATTTATGTATACTAAACTTTGCCAGCAAAAGTAATAATTGAATCAAATAATATTCCTTATGGAATGACATGTCATAAGTGAAAAAAACAAATCAAACATTTTCAAAACCCAGTTGAAAGCTGGGCATGATATGATCTCTAACAAAAGAGCAGAAATTTGACCAAAAATTGACTGAGTAAGGACAACTCCAAAATAAATGAAAAAACGTTTCTGTATGTAGACCGCAAAATGTACATAGTGTCTCAATAATACAAGGAAAAAGTTACTGGGGTAATATTTATAAATGAGTTTGAAAGAAATTTCTTTGACTTTATTTGTGATTAAATATTTCGGAGGTAATTTCCAGATTTTATGCCACCAACACGGCTCTAAAAGTTGCTAAATGACGTTGTGATGTCATTGCGCGGTGACGTCATTACGTAATCACGTGTCACTACATCAAATCTCAGCAAAAATATATTTTGTGTTCATTTAGATTTGTTCGTAAAATAATATAAATGCATAATATAATGTTAAAATATAAATAACTATTTTTATATACAACATTGAACACTTTTGAACGATTTAATTTTTGAATGATTACAAGTTTTTTTTTTTTATTAGCTAGTAAACTAGTAAGACTACACATTCTGAACAATTATAGTTTTAAGCAGTGCGTTAGTAGTCAGTATGCTACACTCTAAGAAAATAAATCACAGGTTTTTACCTGCATTTTAAGTTACGCATTGTATTTTGTGTTTTCGGTAAAATTACTAGTACCTTTTCCATTTTTCTAGATATTTTTCTTACAGTGTACTAACTGATCAACAATCACAGGTACAAGCTTCTAACAAGGTGTATCATAAATGAACAATTATTAAATTATTATTGTTATTATCAAATTGAACAATTGCAAATAGCAATAACTTAATTCACGTGATGTGTGTACTTCTAGGCATCTTTGGTTTCCTCTTTTTGTGAAATTTAGATGGAAAATGTGTGCCTTTTTATTGTTTGAGCCACTTATCAAAAGTTGCTAAAAGTAGGCAAATAAAATGTAAAAATAGCTAAATTTGTTGCTAGGTGCTTTTGGAAGAAAAAGTTGCTAGGGTAGTCTGAAAATTTGCTAAGTTTAGCAACAAAATTGCTAAGTTGGCAACACTGCTTGCACGCAGCACAGGCGTCAAGTTTGGTTTCGACAGAGGGACCCCTCTCTGCTAATTTCAGTGCTCATGTGTCTCATGCTTTTAAGCGATCGTTGTGCATGATTGCTCAAATTCAGCACATACCCGTTTTCATTTATGCTCCGCGTGGCCAGTGATTTAATGAGATTCAATTAACGGTGCTGACTAAATTTTCTACACATGACTGATTGAGATGTCTTCAATTAAGCCGCATACAAGCAGCCATGCTTAACGTTAACGTTTTTTCCCCCTGTGTAACAAAGTTTTTAAAAGAAAACTAACTAGCTTCTATACCTTGGTCACAAGATGACCACAAAAAACAATGTGTTTTTCTCTTTTTTAATCTTCCATAATTAGCAGTTGTTGTTAGGGCTAAAGATCAGTCATTTATTGTCAGAATCAGAATCAGAATGAGCTTTATTGCCAGGTATGTTTACACATACGAGGAATTTGTTTTCGTGACAGAAGCTTCCACAGTGTAACAGAATGACAGTGACAGAACAAAAAACACAGATAATAAAAAATAGAACAAGTTGTTTGCATTTATGCAAAATCGACGTAGATTGCATTCAGAGTATGCATGTTATCAGTTCATGCATTCTCCGGGATTCAAACCCATAACCGTCAAGTGACTAGTTACAGTGCTGTTTCAAATGCACTTTCTTCTGAATAAAACATGCTATATAGAAGTATCGCACACAATTTGTAATGTTTCGAGAATATCCAGAACAGTTTTACTGCCTCGCATTAAAAAAATTAACACAAATGATCATCATTACTGAAAATTATCATGTCAATGAAGGTACACAGGGAGGGACATGAACACTTTTACGGCGCTCAAGGCTTTTGTAAATGAATGCTGCTGAGAATAGTAAAAATATTCATACTAAATTTGCATGGATTGTTATTTTATGCCTTAGGAAGAATTGAGAATTCTCTTTAGAACTGTTGCTTTTGTTGACATGCAAACAACTCCTACATTTATGTTTAATCATTTAGAAGACACTTTTTCTCCAAAGCACTTTACAAATAGAATATTCTGACATTCTTCAAAGTGTCCTGTTATCTTCAGTTATTGTCCATATGTCTTCATTTAGACTAGTCTATCACACCAGCACAGTGCTTATCTTTAGACAGCAGCTATGACTCCCAGTGTCAATTGTAGGTATCTGGATTGTTGGAGGACACTGTATGAACAGATAAATTCCACAGAAAAATGATATTTTCCCATACTTCTTTGGCTCAAAGTTAGCCAGAGCAGAAGCAGATTTGTAGTTATTTGCAGTGAAATTTTGCCCTCCAGTCCTCATGGTTTTTATTTTCCAGACAAGAGGCTGTGATCATATCAGGCAGGAAACTGTCACGGCAGATCCGCAATGAGGCACGTGATGACCTGGAGGAGTGGGTCGCTGCTGGAAACCGACGACCTCACCTGAGTGTAGTGTTAGTGGGTGACAATCCAGCCAGTCACTCGTACGTTCTCAATAAAACCCGAGCAGCAGCAGAAGTGGGTAAGATAAGTTCCAGTGCCAGATGGGAGCAATTTCTTGTTCATTCAAAATTGGTTGTAAAAGAGTATTTGGAGAAGAGCCTTTCTTCTTCACAGCTCACTGAAGTGAAATGAGGTGTATCTACCAGTTAAAATTCTGAACATGCTTGTCTGGTTTTTCGTAATCTTTTGATATAAAGGATTAAAGGGTTAGTTCATCCATAAATGAAAATTCTGTCATTGTTTATTCATCCTCATGTCCTTACAAACCCATGGCTTTTGTTCCAAGTTGTTCCTTGCTAGTTCAAGGCTTTCTTCGAAAACAAATTAAGATATTTTTAATAAAACCTGAGAGATATCTGTCTTTCCATTGAAATCCCATTCCACCGATATTTGGCCCTTCAAAGATGAAAGCGTAAACTTCTGAAACCCGTATATGATATGCTGTATGTGTGCTGATCAACATTTATATTTGAATAAAACCCTAAATGAAATCTATTCATCTGTTCAAAGCGATTGTCTCTCATCATTAAACCGCTCAATTATTACGGATTACGTTTGCAGTCTTTTTAAGAACTTTCTGACTCATCAAATTTTTGGTTGTGTGGACTTTCAGTGGAGGGACAGAAACTTCTCAGGTTTTGCCTTCATTTGTGTTTTGATAAAAGAAACAACACAAGAGTGAGAAAATTATGACAGAATATTCATTTTTGGGTGAACTATCCCTTTAAACTTGAATGCTTGAAATTAGATTTGTAGATAAGCCTACATATTAATTTCTTTACAAAATTGAAATTTTAATTACTTTTTTTAATTATGAAATGGACGACTTGGAAGGTATAGTCAATGAAAATAAAAGGCAGCCGTGAGTCTGTTTTTGTCTTCAGTATTGCTGTAGTATGTAAGAGATGGGTGTCACTTTCCACTGTTGGCTGTATACAGTATGTAAGTCTATTTTGAGTGTACATGTGACTCCTTACAGGACCTTACACTCTGGCTCTACACAAACTCACAAGCAAATCTGAGTGGCACTTTGGGGCCTATTGGCATAAATGCTTTTTTATAAATGCATATATTATATTTATACATTTTTATTTAATACGTATGTTTGCTTGTTGTGTCACTGCTCTCTCTTATTCTCTGTAGGCATTAGTAGCGAGACCATCCTGAAACCTTCTAGTATCAGTGAAGAGGAGCTACTTGACCTTATTGAGAAACTCAACTCAGACCACAGAGTAGACGGTCTGTTGGTACAGTTACCACTTCCTGGTAGGTTAACAGAAGAGCTATAGCTGTGCTGATGTAGTGCCTCATAGTTGTTGGTTATTGGACATTTTCCATTGTCAGTGCTGGGTTTTAGAAACAATTACATTAGGTTTAAGGCAGGGGTGTCAAACTCCGTTCCTGGAGAGCCACGGCCCTGCGGTTTAGCTCCAACCCTAATTAAACACCCGATCCAGCTAATCAGGTCCTTTAGGCTTATTTGAAAAATAGATTGGTATGTGTGTTGGAGCAGGGTTGGAACTAAACTCTGCAGGGCTGTGGCCCTCCAGGAACGGAGTTTGACAACCCTGGTTTAACGCTTAATGTGAGACTTGACGGTCATTTCGAACTATTTTTGACCACTTCGTTTTGTTTAGTTCTCTTTATTCCAGATTGAACTAGAGTTTCCAAAAAGGACATAAAAGTAGGGATGCACGATATATCGGCCACCATATCGGTATCGGCCCATATCGGCTCATTTTTTCTGTTATCGGTATCGGCCTGATAAGAAAATTTGGCCGATATCTTAAAGCCGATAAATAATGCATTATTTCCTTCAGAGACACTTCAGATGCGCGCTGTTCGTTTGCAGCCTTTTGTGCAATTGTACATTGTAATATTGTGTTTATTTGATGTATATCTAGAGTTTGACAACCCTGGTTTAACGCTTAATGTGAGACTTGACGGTCATTTCGAACTATTTTTGACCACTTTGTTTTGTTTAGTTCTCTTTATTCCAGATTGAACTAGAGTTTCCAAAAAGGACATAAAAGACTAGACTTCAATATTATTTCCAATTATATTGTGGGATTGTCAAGTTGTTTTAAGTGGTTTCCTCTCATACACAGATCACATTGATGAGCGACGTATCTGCAATGCCGTGTGCCCAGGGAAAGATGTTGATGGTTTCCATGTGGTCAATGTTGGTCGCATGTGTCTGGATCAGTCAACTATGCTGCCTGCTACTCCTTGGGGGGTTTGGGAGATTATCAAACGCACAGGTGAGAAACCCATAATTTAACCAGTGGATCATACAGCGTCATTTGAACCCCAGCAGTTAGTTAGGGAGCTGTTGGATGTTGTATTTTAATTTGGGGTTAAATGATACCTCAAACTGTGTGGATTGTTGAGGAGAGGTGTGCTATTAACTTTCTAAGCAATCAGATGCAGATATTAAAATCAGTGAACAAATCCCATAGACATGGATTGAAGGAGACACCCAAAATAGAGACTCCTAGAGACTTGAGACAGTAAGCAACCATCTAGGGCAGGGTTGCCCAACTTGCCCAAATGAGGGTTTGTGCACAACTGATCAAAAAGCAATGGAAATCACAGTTATTGAATAAAGGGCTGCAATTTAGCTAAGGATGGTTCATTCTGCAGTGTGTTTGTGCAGCTTTGACACTGTTTCAAAGCGGTTCAGTTCACAGTAAATTCTTCTCACAAACTCTCTGCTCTGTGAGTTTAACATGCATTTCAGGAATACAATGTGCATTTGCTTTATTTACAAATGTACATAATTTTCAACATTATTGTATATTCAATGTGCATATTGTATTCAATGGTGCAGTGCATGTTTATGCTGACTGAACCCGTCTTTTGTCATAGGCATACAGACGCTGGGTAAGAATGTGGTAGTTGCTGGTCGCTCCAAGAACGTTGGGATGCCCATTGCAATGCTGCTACACACAGACGGCAGACATGAAAGGCCAGGAGGTGAGTCTGTGAGCAAAAAAAGCAAAAGCATTTGTGTGCAGTTCTGATGATCTTTGGTGATACATGGCAATTAGTATAAAGCATCATGCCTTTTTTGTTTCAGGTGATGCCACAGTGACCATCTCCCACCGTTACACTCCCAAAGAACAGCTCCGTCGGCACACGCAGATCGCAGACATTATCGTTGCTGCTGCAGGTTCAAATTTCAATTTACTAATTAAACCCTCATTTAATGTCCATTTAAAGGGGTCATATGATGCGATTTCAAGTTTTCCTTTCTCTTTGGAGTGTTACAAGCTGTTCGTGAATAGATAAGATCCCTAAATTTGCAAAGACGAAAGTCTCAAACCCAAAGAGATATTCTTTATAAAAGTTAAAACTAGTCCACGCCCTCCTAAAACGCCTCGCTCAAACACGCCCCCACATGTCTACATCACGATGTGGGAAGATTTGCATAACGCTGCCCAAATGTTCACGCAAAGAAAAAAGTTATAGATGTTGGAATCAACAGAATATTGGACCCCTTGACTGGGAAAAACAGACTTGTTGGTGACGTGGACTTTGAAGGTAAGAAGGAAGCACAACTAGTACTGTGACTGGTGTAATAATGGGATAAAAGCTTTTCTGAGATTCTCGGTTCAAATGATTGTTGTGCTTGCACTTTACTGTATATTCCACAGACATTCTAGTTTGGGATTTCTAAACATTGAATATCTGCTTTTAGTTTAGCCTGTTTCTTTTTGGATTTTAAGACGTTTTAAGATTATTGTTTGAAAATCTAATTAAGTTTTTGTTCAAATCTAGCAGTTGGTATGGTTGCATTATTTATTTCTTTTATGAATATGTATTATATTGGTATTACTTCTTGTAGTTCAAACAGTAGAGCATGGCGCTACGCTAAGGTTATGCATGAAGCGGTAAAAAGTCACTTTGGAAAAATTTGTCCGCCAAATACATACATATAAATTTAAAGCACATCATTAAATATATAATACAGTTTATTTAACGCATGCTTTTGTTTCATGTGACTGCAGACTTGCAGAAGTGCCAGCTACTGATCTAAAGGTCTTGTAAAGCAGAAAGAAAACATTCTGAATTGGTGAACACGTAAGTATTAATTGGCTACGTTTAGTGAGTCACTATAAGAAAGATGAAGCATGTGCTGATATCAGATTAGTAGAGACCTGGAGATATAACACTCTGCACGTCTTCTGCAGCTCGGGGTCTCAGTAACGTTACACACACTTGCGGTCGTGCTGCGGTTTTTAAGTTTGGTTTATGCTTTTAAACTGTCCTCGCCAAACACTAGCCGAGATTAAAACGAGGTCCTCGCCATTGCACTTTTCACTATAACAATAGGTGGCAGTGCAGAAGAGTCATACTGAACTTTACTTTTACCTGGCCAGGTGTAATATTCACGAGTGGTCTTCTTACTTAAGGAGTTTCCTATAACAAGCTGCAGTAGGTTGTTTCATAATGTGAGGTGCCGCTTATGAGACTGATGAATACTATTTTTTTTTTGTATGCACTCGTGTATGCTCATATTGTATGCATAGACAGAACAGGGAGGGGCTGCATTTTGGGGTGTGGCTAGGCGCGTTGCTCCGCCCCACAACTGCTCTGATTGGCTCGGTTGTTGCAGGAACGAGTAACCTGAACAAGTAAATTGCTGGTGTATCTCTTGATGAAATACATGGAAGCTGGTGGTGGTGAATTAAAAAAGGTAATTGCAATTTTTTATCTCACAATTCTTCTTTTTCTCAGAATTACAAAATATAGACACAATTGCGAGAAAAAAAATGTGACCTTGGAGCACAAAACCAGTCATAAGGGTAAATTTTTTGAAATTATGATTTATTCATCATCTGAAAGCTGAATAGTTTGGTTTGTTAGGATAGGACAATATTTGGCTGAGATACAACTGTTTGAAAATCTGGAATCTGAGGGTGCAAAAAAAAAAAATCTAAATATCGAGAAAATCGCCTTTTTATTTATATTTTTAATTGTATTAATTCAATGTTATTAATATGTTAAAAATGTTGTGGTGTGACACAAATGTACTAGTGCATTAGAACCAGTTTTGTTAAAGTAACTTGGGGGTGAATCTCAGAATTGCGAGGAAAAAAGTAGCATTTACCATTTTTATTATTATTTTTATCCTGTGGTGGAAACAGGATTATGTTACCAGCATTCTATATTTGGTATACATTGCACTATTATGTTGTTTTTAATCTGCACTTTGATAGCAGTGAATTTTTAACAAGATCATATTGCTTTAAAACAGGACTACTTTCCTGACTGTTTCACAGGTAGATTATTACTCATGGGAGGGAGTGATGCTGGTAGCAGATCTAAGAGCAGACACCGAGATGAGAGCAAATCCAGAAGCTTGTCATCATCAAGTGCTAGGAGATCCAGTCCAAGCCCTCAAAAGAGACCTGAACGTTCCTCTGGTAAGGGAAAGTGCTGCTCTCAGTATAGAATACTCACATTTTGACATGATTTTTCTAAAAAAAAATTATGTATGGTTATTGGTTAATCAAGCAAACCTAAAATGCTTCAGTCCAGTAAGTGTTCGTGTTGAAATATTAAAAACAATATAACAGTTTTTCTAACATTTGCTTCTTAAAAATCAGTAAATATTTCACAGCAGACACACAATCTAAAAAGTGGACGTTTATCTAAAAGGCCTTTTACTTGCTAAAAAAGTATGAACTGTCAATCAGACAACAGAAGGCATGTAGTAGATTGTGTATTCATAAATTAATGCATATTCTGTATTTGTGGCGAAAGCTTGTACGTATAACATGTCTCCCGACTTCTGATCTGAAATTAGACAGAAAAATGATGAAAAGGAGAAGTCCCTCCAGCTCTTCATCGTCTTCCAGCTCCACTTCCCCATCCAGAGAAAAAAAAGAAACGTTAAGAAACTGATGCGGGAAATGAAGTGGCAAAAGAAGCTAGCATTGAAAGCCGAAAGAGCAGCAGCTTCCGTATCAAATGCTGTTTCTGATGAAACACCTCAAACATACCTGAAGACCTGGCAGAGTGAAGAAGCTAAAGTACACGGCCCTGGTATGTGCACACCTGCGTATTACCAAAGTCCCTTTAAAGGGGTCATATGCTAAAAAGAAAATTATTTGGTGTAATGAAATGTTTATGTGGTTTAAGGTTAAAAGAACTCATTATTTTCCACATACTGTACATTATTGTTTCTCCTCTATGCCCCGCCTTTCTGAAACGTGTTGATTTTTACAAAGTTCATCGGTCTGAAAAAGCGAGGTGTGCTGTGATTGGCCAGCTATCCAGTGCGTTATGATTGGCTGAATACCTCAAGCGTGTGACGGAAATGTTACGCCCCTTACCATACTGTGATTCCCTGTCCGGCCGGAGCCATGAGACAAAAACATGAAAACCCATTATAAACGAGGCATTCGTTACATCCAGTGGGGACATAATTATGGATTATAATGACTTATACTGTCTTTTTATGCGTTGCATCGCGCCGCGTAAACATAAAATGTCTGCATTTGTGATCGGAGAAATGACAAACAACAAGCCCTACTCTACACTGCCCAAACAAACTCGCTTTAAATATATAAAATATTAAAACTCTTTAAAAAAAAAACTTACTTACAGTCTGTGAGTCAGAACAGCCGGAATTGTAGTCTCCTCTACCAGGATCAGGAAACAGTCCTCCATAAAATGCGCTGCACACATCTGAATATTTGGTTTGAACTGTTTTGGAGCAGTGTTGTAAATACAACTTAACCACTGATTTCTAGTCGTGTCCTCTTTTGGAAGGCCAAACAAAGTAGTTTCACTTTCACAGCGTCACACACGGCGGCCTAGAGTGAGCAGAGGCGGCGGACTTGAGAATGGCGCGGCCGGCGATTTCGACGAAGGAGCGTCCGGAAGGACATGTGACGACTCCGCTTCGTCCACGGTGAAAGCCGATCTGGCGATCTACAGCGCAAAGTTGTAGTATTTCCTCAGCAACCAGCACGGATCAGCTCTAGGCATGACGAAGCAGATATCGTCCTCTTTTGGAAGACCAAACAAAGTAGTTTCGCTTTCACAACGAAGCACACAGCGCCTTCACGACATGGCGGCGGCAACAACAATACTACAGCGAGAATAAAAGCGTTATAAATCTAAATAAAGATTTTCAGATAAGATTGGGTGATCACAGGTAAAGTGGGCTGTTTAAGCTTGATTGAACTGTGTTCAGAGGGTTTACACTTTCAGAGCTTAACCATGGTCTTTAATTAAAGAGACACTATTTCTCTAAATCAGAGGCTTTAAAACATTTTTTGTCAACTGAACCCCTTTGGCCTAAATTCTTTACTCTTAATACCCCCTGAGCATCATTTTACATAGTTATTGTTATTAAAGATAAAACGTCATGAAAATTTCATAGTTACCGAAATGATCACAATTATCAATATTATCACTGTATTGTTAGATGTGCTGGAAATGTTCAAAAAGTACTCAAAAACACAAATCAAGTAAAAAAAAACAACAGATTTTAAACAAATTAAAAATATTGTTTGGGTGACTTGCAACATAACATGTTGTCTACTAACATATACTACGTGCTCAAATAAAGTTTTGACAAAAACGAAACAAAAAATTTAGCCGTTGATCATTTTTTAAGAAACTGACTACCTTGCAAATAAGTTTTTTTTGGATTGAATACAAATTTAAATACTACAGCTTTACTGTTAAAAGTAAAGTTAAACGTAATAACATAAAGAGAAAAGAAAAAAACATCTAGGTATCTAAATTACGTTTAACAAAATGTGGCCCACATCTGCATTCACCCTAATTATGTATGAACTAATTAATTAAGACATCGCTAATTAATCTGACATTAAATTTGGCTTAGAAATTACCCCCAAAATAAGATTTAAAGCCATCATTGTGTTAAAGGGGTCATATGATGCGATTTCAAGTTTTCTTTAACTGCATAAGAATGCTGGACATATTTATTATTATTTACACAGTACACAATTATATAGTAATTGTAGGTTTTATTATTTATAATTAAATTGATATGCTAAATGTTGTAGATTTATTATTATTATTATTATTATTAACAGCAGTAGCATAATCCTGATTGCAAAATTACAATGCTAGGATCATTTGATTTGTTTAATCAGTCTGATTTTGCTTAACCACCTAGAATGTTTATGTATTTTATTTATTTGTTTGTATTGTATTTTTGTAAAATGTATTATTAAGTATTCATATTTTTAAGTAGCTATGTCTCAGTCTGTAAGGACTTACAGTTGTACTTATGCTGGTCTATTTTGTTCTGGGAAAATAAAATAAAATAAAACAGCCCAGTAGGTGGCGGTATGAACACAGTCTGTGAATAATCTAAAACTAAACGAAGAAGTAATTCGTGAAGTTCAGTGTGTACAGTATGTAGTACATTGCTGCATTATGCTGTGTATTTCTATCAGATTGAGTTTATTTTCAGGGATGTTACTTGAATGCGCGTAATTGGTTTATATTCCGACCAGTATATTTGTGGCCTTCTATGTGGCTGCAAGGGGAAACTCTGAAGGATGACTTCGCCTCTTTTAGTCCATCAGCGTCTTTTCGCTGCCTGGAAGCTGCTCTGGGGGTCGCTGAACACAGGGACGAGCCTCATACTCCATCAGCCGTGGCTACGGGTAACAGGATGGCCGTGTGTTTTCGCTGCTGGTAAGAAATACCAAATTGACCTGCCAGTAGTCCACGAGAAAGACCTTGATGAACAGTTTGTTCGTGGATCTGGTCCTGGAGGACAAGCCACCAACAAAACCAGCAACTGCGTGGTGCTCAGGCATATTCCCACGGGTATCGTCGTAAAGGTGAGTTCATTCATTAATTGATATCGATGTATGGATGTGATAGACTGATAGTATACCATTTGATAACCCTATCAATTAATGTCATGTATCAGATTTATAGTGTAAATACTTGAAATGATCATGTAAAAAGTACAGTTGTCAGAAAAAGTTTGTGAACCCTTTATGTGGATTTCCCAGGGAATGCAAGAACTGATCAAATGCATAACGTTACAATGAAATGCAATGTAAGTGGCTGTGGATAAAACCTTCTGTGAAATGCATGCTAGTTTAACTTACAATTTCATGCTATGTATATTTAACTGTCAATTACTGCACTGAATACTCATAAAAAGTGGTCTGATCTTCATGTAGGCCTAAGTCACAGTTAGAGATAAACACAATTTGACTAAACTATTCATTTTTTATCAAAGACACAAAGTAATAATTTAGTGTGGTCTGCAAAAAGTGAGACTCTGTGTTAATTACTTTTCCAAAGGCTTGGCAATGATCAGTTATTTAAAGGGGTCATATGATGCTGCTAAAAATAATATAATTTTGTGTGTTTGGTGTAATGAAATGTGTTTATGCGGTTTAAGGTAAAAAAAAAA